CACGTGCATGCTTTCACATTGAGCAGCATTAACTACACAGAGCCGTTGTTCACTGACGAGCTGCGCAAAAAATCGCGCGAATATGAACGTGGTTTTGCGCAGCTCGTCAGTGAACAACGGCTCCGTGTAGTTAATGCTGCTCAATGTGAAAGCCCGCAGGTGATGGGAGATTTACCGCTGATTACAGAACCGGCTTTACTGATAAGATGCGCGATAAATATCGCATGCGATTTATCGTGTAGCCCTACCTCAAACCGAATCACCATTGCTTCATTTTATTCCAGACTGATCTCATGATGCTCAGAATAAATTAAATCCTAATGCTCAGACAGACACCGTGAACTGTGTTAGATCAGATAATCTTCTCTCTCCATCTCTTTTCGTTATTCTTCTTCCCCAGGCAAAACATGGGATGCGACCACCTGATTGGGTTACTTCAAGTGTGATGGAGACGCTAAAGGTGTTAAAGAACTTTGGTTTTCAGATTCTGTTTGGGGTGTACAAGAGAAAGGAGAAGTGCAGACTTCAGGGAGGTGAGAGCATTTTCTTTTTTAAATTAATTTCAATTAAACTCACAATTATGCCAAGTAATATAGAACAACAACAGCAAAAAAAAAAACTAAATGAATAAAAACAATAATAAGAACCAAAAACCCAGAGAAAAACATTATATGAGGTTAAACATTGAGAGTAGTTTTTGACATTTCAAAAAGAAGAGAGAGGATTCTTGACAGAGCATTTTGATAGTTACACACTCTGACACTTTTATGCACACATATGCAAATCAGTGTTGTATGAATAGAGGGAGAGGCTGCAACCTGAAACGGTGTGCAATTATAGTGCAGGGAAATGTCAGTGTAAAGAAACAATGGATGGACCTTTCTACATTCAAACTGGAATACACAAATGCAGTACTGTGATCCTGCAACACTTTAATGTGCTAAAACTGCACTTTTGCTCTCATTTACAGGCCTGCTGTTAGATCAGATCATTAAGAATCTCTCAAATGCAGCAGCACCGGACTCTAAACAGGAAGTGAAGATGATGGTATACTCAGCTGTAAGTCTTGTGTCACACTTAAATGAAACATCAGCAGACCAAAACACCCAAACTTCCCTTTTTCAGTCAATATCCTACTAAAAAAAAATAAAAATGTGTCATCTTTAGAGTAAGCAGTTCATGTAATGTTCTCTCATGTAACCCTTTCCTCACTAGCATGACACAACAATTGTAGCCCTGCAGGAAACTCTGGATGTCTTTAATGGCCTGCAGCCACCTTATGCCTCATGTCATCTAATTGAACTTCACCAGGAAGAGAAGGGGTAACTGTGAGAACTGTGTTTTTCATAAATTCATGTTTCAAGTAGACATTCTTTGGTCAACTAAAATATACCTTTGCTTTGCTCTTTCAGGCTGTTTACAGTGCAGATGTTTTATCGCAATGACACTAATGTGTCTGAGCCGTACCCTGTGTCTTTACCGGGCTGTTCTCAGCGTTGCCCGCTACAGGACTTTGTGAACCTCACACGTGAAGTCATACCACAAGACAGGAATAAAGATTGTCAGATAAGGAAGGAAGCCACAGACACTGGTGATCACAATCATTTACATTAATAAATGCTGTTTATTGCTTACATCTTGTAACCACTCTTTTTTTGTGTACACACAAACTGTAAATTATGAATATTTAATTATTTATTGATATTTATACTGCAATTTATTATTTAAAGCACTTCCCTATGACAAAAGATACAATTTTAAATATCTTTCAAAATATACATAAAATGGCCAACCATATTGCTTATATAGATTTTCAAATATATACATTTTAGTTACTTTGATTTTGATAGTTCTCTCTCATATATGTGTGTAGAGGTCATCATTGGGCTAGCTGTGTGTGGATGTCTTCTCTTCCTCCTGGTACTGCTGCTGTTTGTAGTGCTATGCCGTCTAAAAGAGCCCATGGCTAGCTACAGTCATGTCATAAACGAGAGTGACTCCTGACAATCATATCGGCTCCTCCGCACAGAGGAACTGTGGGACAGTGAAGAGGACCTATGAGGACACAGCGCCGAGTTGTTGAGAAACTCTTAAGACAACTGAAAAGACAGAACTATTTTTGGCCACACGTTTTTTACACTGAGGAACACTTGGTAATGTCTTATTTACTTCTCTTATCTTAAATGTAAATCAAGAGTTGTGATGGTGTCAATAGCATTAACATAACAATGCTTAGTGCACAGACACATAACTAAGCAACTTGACTTCATGTCCGTCTTGGGCTCTGGGATTTTATTGTAATGGAAGAGTGTGTACAAATGTCAACGGTGGAACTAAAACTTGAACTCAAAATATCTGAGATGTGGACTAGATTGAAGCTCCTCGGCTGTCCTACTGTTTGTGCTCCCAGGCCATTAATTCTACTGTACTTAAAAGCCTACTTAATATACTTTGAGGCCTTTTAATGCACTCATGGAATTTTACCCTCATGCTTTTTATGTGATTATCTCCTGATTTACAGCCACAGAAGAGTTTTGATTAGTACATTTCAGAATAACAACATGCTGATATGAACAGTCTTCTCAGGTTAAGCTCAAATGAGCTTTTATTGGAGTTGTTTAATCGTGTAGTTTCCTTAATGTTTTGTCATTCCACTTTGATCACGTGAATACGAATTACATTTTAGATTAAGTTATGAAAGATGCTTTCATGTCTCAATACAGTAAAAAAATCAGTTCCAGGTGCATCATATTTAATACAAAATTGTTAGACTGATAAACATGCCCAGTAAGAATAAAAAAAAATATATATATTGCCACTCAACATTTATATGCAATGTGTCCAAATTGTTCTAATCTTTAATGTTTTGTTTGTTTTTAATGATTGTCTTTTTACTGTCTTAGTGCACATCTCCTCAGCTTGACTGAAAATGTTTTGGGCAGGATTAATTTAACACAAATGCTGTATTGATTAGCTGAAGAAATTGTGATGGTTTGAGACGTACTTAATCTGAAAAGAAGACAACAACCTTTTTTATTCCGTTTTATTTTTTCATCAAATAGACAAATAATGTTTGACAGGACAACTGTTTTAAACAAATGCATGTATGTCGTGTACTAGGTCACTGACATCTTGTTAATAGTCAAAATGGAAACTTATAATACATGTGTAACAGCACAAGTCTTTAGTGTCAGGAAAAGAGCTTCAAACCAACATGTTTTTACCAAGAATATAACCCAAATTCACAATTTGTGTAAATCTAGCTTTAAAAAAAAAAAAAAACATTCATAGACCTCTGCTTTGAATATGGGGGTGTCCCCTGAATATCCACGTCATTTAAGGTCCTAGGGCCTCATTTATAAACACAAGCGTAAAATGATCTTGTGATGTGTGAACACACAAAAGTTTCTGAAATGTTAATATGAATGATTTATAAAAAGTCTGTGTGCACAAAAATGTCTCTAAATGCATCTCTTGATAAACTCCACCAGCAGAATGCACACCAACATCCCTTAATGGTTATATATTAATATAATTAAGCAATTACAGAGACATAATTATCACAAAGCGGTTAAAATATTGCTAATTTGTGCATATAAATGCATAACGTGATTGCCTATTTATCTTTACATGTTCTTAATCGAGTTTAATTACTGGTATATGAGCACAGGAAGTTCATACACATGCTTTTGTAAATCCTGATTTGTTCCTTACTTTTGACATAGAATGAAATCTGATCGTAAATGCATTTTATAAATGAGGCCCCGGTTTCTGCAAGGTATTGTGATATCATGAATACGCCAGCAGTGCATAAATGTTAAAGGGGTCATATGATGCTGCTAAAAAGAACATTATTTTGTACTAAAAGCATCCAAAGTACAAATGTTTTTTATACATTCTCCTAAAATTAATTAAACCTCTTTTTTGTAATTAATGTATGTTTTAACAATCATTCATCTAGAATTTTTAATAGAAATGTTTGTACACCTATACTGCAAGTAGACTATTATCTGGACCCGTCCAGATCAGTGCAACTGTTTGAGAACATTACAATTCAGTCAAATCAACACAAAATATGGGACTTCATTCAAAAGACACCAAACATTTTCCTTTCACAGTCTGTGATACATTCTTTTTTTCTATATCGTACTCTTAAATGTGCTGTAATTTTAAATATGTGGTGCAACATCAGGCTGGGTTGAGTGCCCCAGAAACATCTCAAGTGTTTTTCTCTATTATCTGGAATGGATTACAAACTTCAAATGTTCAGTCTGTGCACATCCATGACAGAGAGAATGATACTCAACAATCTTAAAGGCGGTTTAAAGTCTCTACTAAAACACTACATAGGCTTAGCACCATTAAAAACCTTAAGGATAACACTAAACACACTCATACGTGCACACATAAAAAATATTCTTGCTGCACTCCACACATAGCTGTTCTTTTTTTAATCCCACTCTGACCTTTAACCTTTACACTCAACATTCAGTTGTCAACAGTGACACGGGTCACTGCACAGTTTTACCTTCACAATATAGGGATTGGTTTATCAATGAACAAATATTAAGATATACAGGGTATTTGATTCATTTCACAGAGAGCAAAGGAAATAGGAAAAGAGAAATGTTGATTGTCTGTTGTCAAGGTCAAAGGTTAGGCTCTGATCAGGCGATGGCTTTGGCCTCAGGCAGGAAAGCCTCCCAACACTTCACCAGCTGGTTTAAGATAAATAGCAATTCATGAAAGACTATTCAGCGGTGTTGTATGTAAAACAAACAAACACTTACACACTTACCCTATGCTGTGTGTGAAGCAGGGACTCCAGGTATTTCACTATGTGCTGTTTGAAATCTCTGGCTTTCTCTTTCTGCCACAGAAAAACAATTCTATTTTAATCTTATATTTTGTGATGTAAAATGGTATTGCCAATGGTCACCGCTTTTGGAACTATTGAATTTCAGATGAATGCTGGTAGATTTTTTTTAAGGTAATTTTTTAACATTTACAGGGGCAAGTTGGGGATTTTATTGCCATCCGTATCCAGAATGACCGTTTTTCTTCCCACTATCCGTGTGAAAATTCCTGGCTGAATTACCTACTGTAAAAACAAACAGTGGTTGTGTGGTAATTTAACTGCCATCCCAATCCACCTGTCTCGAGTTTAGGAAAAGGGATCAATCCAAAAGTCATTTTGTAAATCCCACCAAGCACCATCTGGTAACTGTTGTGCTTTGCTTCATTTTATATTTGGATACTAAAATATTTTGTCAAGAATAATACAGAAATATATTGTCACCGCTCCACTATAGTGAGTCAGAGCTGTTAAAGGGGTCATATGATGCTGCTAAAAAGAACATTATTTTGTGTATTTGGTGTAATGAAATGTGTTTATGCGGTTTAAAGTTAAAAAAACATTATTTTCCACATACTGTACGTTATTGTTTCTCCTCTATGCCCCGCCTTTTTGAAACGCGTCGATTTTTACAAAACTAATCGGTCTGAAAAAGCGATGTGTGCTCTGATTGGCCAGCTATCCAGTGCGTTGGAGAAATAGAAAAGAAAAAAACAGAACAAAATTGCGTAAGCTTTTTAAATAGGCCATTATTATGGCAGCACCAGGTATGCAACAAAATTAAAAAATATATGTATTTATATAAACTAGGGCTTGCATAACTAATAATTTTAGCAGTTGACCAAATAGTCAAATGCTTGCCCTATGTAAATAAGCCCATAATTTTAAACATATAAAACCACTAAAACCATAGCACATCAGTGTACCTACCATTATATAGGATATTTAAATTAAGAAATAATAAAACAGGACATTTCCTATTATTAAATTCATCATCATGATGAACATGTGACTGACATGCAGTATCTTACCTCAAATCTGAGCACTTCTTTACGTACAGTACAGGTAACTCTTTCGAAATCTCTCTCATACTGACTGACTTTAGACTCCCACTGTGCAGAGACACAGGAAACAGCTCAATGTTAACAGCAAATTAGTGACCATTCATATTGTCATTCAACATAACCCCCCTACAAAAATGTTACTTGTTAGTCTAATGTACAGTACTTGTACCGTGTTGTGTTTATCATTCGCTGTTGATAATTTAACCTCATTTATGTCGTCTTTAGCCTGCTGCAGCTTCTCAGGTTTGTTTGCCCAGAGCAGTTTGGCCTCGGCCTCTCGTTTCTTCTGCAATGTGCTCTGAGCTTCCTGTAGTCGCTGCCACACTTTCATCCTCTGCTCAAAACAGCACTGAGGACAGCAAAGAACACAATAAACAACATTACATTACTTATGCAGTGGGCTCTGATTGTTGGTTTTGCATTATGTGGTTGTGCTCTCTAACCCTCACGGCCCCCAGCAGTCTGATGTAGTCGGCCAGGAGCTCAGCGAGGATGAAGAAATCGTTGAAGGCCTGTTGCTGATGCAGCTGCTCCATCTTATCCTCCACTTCCGCCAGCTGTGACAGCGCACGAGACAATGCAGAGTTCTCCTCCACACTGCCCAGCATGGCCACACTCTTACTAAACACCGCTGTGTTACTACACAACTCTACGAGAGGAGAAAGACTTTGAGATGCTTTGTAACAGTATGCATCTGGATGATTGGCTTCACAGTGTAGTTTTCATTCTCACCTTTCCTGTGGTTTACTAATGAGTCGACAGCAGCATGGAGCCTCCTCAGCAGCTGCTCCTCATTCTCCACTTCCTGCAGCTTACTCTCGAACCACTGACACACACACACACACAGAGGTGTCAATCACTAGTCAAATGCAACAACCTGGGAGAATTTACATCTTAGAACTGCATGAACTGAGCTCCTCTTACATTATCTGATTCATTCATTTTAATGGTCATCTTATTCACTGCATCCGACGCTCTGTTTATCATCTTTAGGAGGCCAGGTCCACTCAAAGTCTGAGTATTTACTGCCCTGAGCAACTAAAAACACACAAACAGACAACAAGTTTAGATATTAAACATGGCACTAAAAATACTGTGTCTAGGAACATGATAAAGGTGGTCACCTCATCTCTCTCTAAAAACTCTCGAACATCCGGGTCCTGTAATAGAGATGGATGAGCCACTACTCTCTGGAGATACCTACAGAAAATACAAATACAAACACAAACACAAAGCCAGTAAGTATATAGGTATAGAAAAGAATCACCCCCTTTAAAATAATCACAAGGTGATTAGCTACACCTGATTGAGTTTACAAGTAATTTTTAGGAGGGGGGCGAGTCATTTTTCCAACTCAGTGATTCTGTTGTTTTTTTTCTGACATGTTGGTGTTATATCTTTCACTTGGATGGTATAAGTTGCACTGAGTAAATACAGCTGGATAAAACAAACTGTGTCCATCTTCATTTCAGGCTGCAAAGCAACAAAATGTGATTATTTTTAAAAGGGGGTGATTCTTTTCTATACCCACTGTATATATAATAAATATAACCATAAACAAGTGTGCATTAGCACATGAATGCATATTTTATGTTAGAGGTAAATACATATTGTTCTGCTGTTGCAACTCAAAATTCGCAACAATGAATGCTTTTTTTCCCCCCCGTTTGCATGGCTGGTGCCGAAAGGTTCTAGAGTATGACTGCAAAAATAAAAATGAAACAACTTCTAACTCCTCAAGGTTTGTGGTATCTAAATCTGTTGCTATTAACAATCTTTCCCAATTTGTATCCTCAATTTAATGAATACCTTGGTTACCAGATATTTGTCACAAAGGATCACTGATGATACATTGCTGCTCGTATTTGTTAACTACTACTTTATATTCCACTGCTGCTACACATGTATATATTACCTACTTATCTAACTGTCAGTTTTGTTTTTACTTTGTTTACCTTCTGATACTATTGTCTGTATTTGTCCATATTTACTGCGTTTAGACCTCATGACT